GTGACTGAAAAATCAGGAAACTAATGGAAGATCTCCATATTATATGTTTCGAAGATGATTCAGCCATACATATTGAAAGTCATATTCAGCTGGATCCAAAGACATCTTCATTCGACAGTAGTCTCATTACTAACTACTTTAATCTTTCGCTAACTACTAGCTTGCTGTATAAATGCTGTGTACAAATGAACAGTTGCACATGGTGGTAATACTGCCAGGTGGGAGAATGTGCTCTAGTGTTAACGTAACAAAAGTCAAACATTCCCTGACCTTGCCTGAGTTTCAGCATTAGATGATTTTTGTGCATTCCCGTGTCCCAACCACAACCCTATGCCGTTATTTCTTTGTTCGCCAGGCAACCACTACGTATATTTTTTGAAGCTAACTATGAAAAACTGTGTGATGCTCAAACAACGAACAGTATGCGGCGCTCGTTTTTTCTGCCACATGCTGAGATCGTCTTACGAATAGCTAATACAGGCCTATACCCTCTCACAGAGATAGCCTTGAGTGACGTTTGATTGAGATCGGTGAGACCGCAGAGGTTTCTAGGAATGATTTGATCGGATGCTTCTTCGTGAACCACGCCGACCCAAATCTAGTTGCCTTTTTGGAAGTGGTACAGCAAGATCCACGTCTGCCTCACCGACCGTTTTTCATACACCTCGGTCTCTTTCATATGAACACCGCCTCGATTAAAATCGGCATCGAATTTACTTTACAGTTTTGCTATCAGCCTATTGCAATCGCATGGACCACGGTTATAATAGTTGTCAATCGCCTAAGCAACCAGGTTTTTTGCCCCAGTCATCGGAAGTCATTCTATGGGCCACAAAACCATTCGATTCAGTACTACTACTCAGAATGGAAACCGAATGAGGAGGTGCAAAACAAAAACGGGATCGCTTAACGACGAAGAGTTCTTCTTTTATCCGTTATGAATGGATTTATCTGTGTTCGATCACTTATCGGTAACACTATACGTGTCGGACAGATGCCGATATCTGATGCTTCTCCATCTATCTTTGAACAACAGAATGTACAACACAATAGAGAAGTTATTTTTTTCATCTCGTTATTATGCATACATAAAAGCCGAGTGAGGATGTAATAAGAATTATTCTCAAGCAATTTCATCATAATTATTACGACTACATAGAATCACCGGGTATACGGCGGGTACATTATTAAATAATACTGAATACTGCTTGTAAAGTTACATATTAACCGAACCCTACGTCTTCAATCCTAGCACAACGCTAAAACTCGTACTCAGAAATGTGATACATTATTAAGACCTGAACAGTAAGATTTCTACTTGTACTCTTCCATGAACTTCGTATGGAAGGACTTGAATCGTTCCAACATATCCTTCATCATTTCCGTTTGTGGAAGGATTGTTGTTCTAAAATAGAAATACAAATAAAAAAATAGTCTGTAGCACTTGGAAAGTACTGGAAACTGAAAAATTTGGTGGCAACATACCGGAAATGGTATGTTCCTTCCTTTTGGCCGAAACCACTACCAGGCACAATACAAACACCAGTCGATTCTAACAATTGCATCGCATAGAAGAAGTCGGGTTCCATGTTCAGTGACTGAAGTTTCGAAAACTCAATTTGGGGCCACTTCTCAGAAAGCCAACCTGCCTTTTAATGACTGCTTTCGTTCAAGGACGCAACCGACGAGGCGCATCCAACCGACGGCACCGCTGGCCACTTGTTGACAACACTGACACGTAATCCATCGGCGTCCGGTGTTGTCAACACATAGCCAGCGCCACCGTCGGTCGGACGCGGCTTGTCGGTTGCGTCGTTGAAGTTTAAAAGAAGCTCACGGCCTCTGCTGCAGCCCTTTTGCTGCTTCCCTCAACTTCAGAATGTACCGAATTACAAATCATAATCATTAGTAAACAAGCGCCTCAGCAAAACTGACCCTAGCCTTTTCAACAGCACGAGGAGGTAACATCAATTGTGGGAAAGCATACATTGCTCCCTGGACCTCATTGCATTTAATTCCTTCGATACTTCCGTAGGCCTCCTTTACCAAGGTAGCTCTTTCTTTGAGCGAAGCCAGGACGGCATTCTTTTCCTAAAAAAGGAACCTATCGAAAAAGCTTGAACGACCTCGGATACACTTCTACCGAACCTTTAACCACTGATCATACGACGGGTCTCCTGGCTTGGGCGGGTTCACAAGTGCATCCATCATGACCTTAAGATTAGTGCAGAGTTGATTGACAGAATTCACTATAGTATTCAAAAAAAACGTAGGGTAACCTCTGACTCACTTGTCCGAGAATAGTAGAGCATAATTTTGCAGAAATCATCTTCTTGAATAGCACATAGACCTCAGGATCCAGGTTGAAGAACTCGACATAACCACCTCGCATACCGCACTCACCCATATAGCCTTTAGACACTGAGTGGAATGACGCCAATTCCATTCTGAAATTCTATGTGAAGATAGTAACGAGATCACCCAGAGAAAACTTAACCGCTTTCCTGTATCCTGGGGATGACGAGGTTTTTCTCTACGCTTAAACCTACTGCCATCATTTGGAAAAAAAGCCGTAAATGCCGTGTAGTTTGTTGCTTGAGCTGAGCAGGCTCTACTAAATGGTAAATTGCGTCTTATTGTTTCAAAGGCTCCTACAAAGCCGTCATTCTCGAATCGAAATTTTATGAGACTTCCGCTAATGTCTCAAAGTCAAGAACAGTCGGGTCAGAGATATCGAACGGACGACATCCGTCGAACCAGAGGGGAATTCATCAAAAGTGATGATAGCATGAATTTCTACCGGTTTCCTCCCCAAACTATCTCCGCTTTGGAACAAAAAACTGACTGACCACAGTGTAAGCTTTCGTTCATCAAAATGCCCACACAATTGATCCAGTTTTGAACTGTATGAAGTCCCTTCTCAAAACAGAGTCCCTTTCCCCACTGGTGCTTTCAGATTTCAACATCTTGGTCGTAAATTGTACTTCCACGTCCTGGTCAGTTGAAAAAGTCTACAGCTTCATAAACTCGTGATCGATGATGGTGGTTCTCGCTCGTGGCAACTGCCTCACTGGCTTCTCTGGCATCTTGAGACGCGAATGACAGAATTGCTGCTGGGCCAGGAATTTCATCGCTTCATGAACTAAGTTACAGAAAACCAAGGCAGCATCGAAAAAACCTCTCACTCAACACAATCAAACATATGAACGACCCGACTTGATCTCACCTGCAGGTTAACCATGGCAGGTCAAATGGTATTTAGGTCAACGATTTCGTTAAAAAGTAACACATAGACTACTGTCATTCCATAGCTTTCCAGCAGTTTTTATAACGAAACCAAATAAGTGTCCCTTTCAACAATTGATTACCGCTCCATATTGCTATTGTGGGGTTGCTTTATGAACAAATCTTAGGTAAATGGGAGGAAAGGTGTTTGAGGCGGTTTTAGGAGTTCACTCGAATTCCAACTTGAAATCGCATTGAAATCCTTTGTACATAGGTATTAAAAATCTATAAGGACGCGAATACACAACAAGAAGAAACATACTGATTATATGGTGCACCCATCTCATTAATGACTTTCTTGAAGGAATGGAACTTTGATCCAGGTGCATAAATATTGTCCTAAATTTGAGTTCTCAAGAAATGTAGGAGGTAAATGAACCTTGTTGCGCCTACCTGATATACTTCATCAGCCATAAGGAATAGGTTATGTCGATGGGCAAACTTAATAATAGTCTCGATATTTTCATGAGATAGCACCTGTAGAGAGCTGAGGATTAAAAAACTGCTAACGCTGATCCATAGAATGGTGAAATGAAGGGAAAAAGTCGAAAAGTTTGTGAAATTCTATAGAATGGTGAATCAAATAGGGCTCCTAAGAGGCTGAGCCGCTTAAAAACAACAATAGACAAATAGGGAAGTTAGAAAATCGAAAGACCAAAAAAACGTGAAAAAGTACTATACCTGTCCAGTAGGGTTTCCAGGGTTAATGACACACAGAACACGAGTATCGTACTTTTTTAGACTTTCTTGATACGCTCGCTCTAACTCGTCCTCCTCAAGGCTCCAATTCCTTTCCTCACAGAGGAAGTATCCTACCTATAAATGATAGATTACTGCAGTGCCCTCATAACACAAAACATAACAATAGCAAAGGTCTCACCAGAATCAGATATATAGGATTAAGTTAATGGAGAGGCAAGGTAGTGCCATTTGGCCACACATATGGTTCATGGATCAAATCTCGAACACACATATCAACTGCCCACAGAACGTAAAGAAAACATAACAATCGCAAGGGTCTAACCAGAATCAGTCATGATGGTAAAATACTTCTCTATGGGATCACGCTAAGGGAAGGCAAGGTGGTACCCCCTGACTACATAATCGTTTATAGATAAAATCCCGTACCCACACAACTCGCCCATAAAGCTTTCTATCCCTCTGAAACAGTTTCGTGGTACCTCACGCGTTTGCGATGGCGAAACGCTTGTTTATTTATCGGCCAGCTCCTCAAAATCATTGCCTGAGCCAGTACATTATTATCCGATGAAAACTACACACTCAATAGCTGTTTAAACCCCTCATACATACTGCTAAATGATTCCAAATATTAACCCTGATTTTCATGAAAAAGCACGTATTTTGCAATGAAAAAAGCATGGGGGCTCAATTTTAAAACAATATAGGCGTAGATAAACAATGGATTGTATAGAATATGTTAACAAAGTTTGCGTACCTGTCCAAGTCCAAACTCCTCCACTGATGCAGAGTAAAGCGGATATTGCGGTATTGGAATCATAATGCCGGTTTTTTTCGGTGCATCACGCCGGATGAACATCTTTAGAACATTACGGATGGATTCGGAAGCCCCTCCAGAAAGAATTACGTTTTCATAATCACATGGGAAACCGTCGCGTTTCTGAAAAGGATCGAAAATCTTCGACTTGCAATAAAAACAGAAAATGAAATGGTCCGTAAAAAAACTAACGGCAATGAAATCGGCTACGTGCTTTCGAATTATGTCAATTCCTGTGCTCTGACTGTAGGCACCACAACTTTTTCCTCCACAACAACAAATTAATTCCTTAAGTAAACAAATCTTCATTTAGAAAGAAAATAAAGTGAAAATGACCACTGCATTTGTTTCAGTTTAACAATAAGAGCTACTTGAGTCAATGTTGAAAATGTTTCACCTTTGCATGTTTGACAACGTCAGAAGGAAAGTTTGCTGTCTCCATCAAGGACGGGTTGGCAAGACAAGCAATCAACTGCAATCAACACTCAACTTTCATAAGAGCTTCTCAGGCGCATGAATTACGCATATTGAGCTATGTATACGCTTAAACTCTCCAATACTCACTGGAATTTCGCTTGAATAAAAATATTAGCCATGCTTACCTGTCTATTGAAGGTAATTGGAGTTTGACCCATGGCATGAGCATCACCGATGTTGGCCTTGATAACGCTTGTGAATGGCTTTTTCGCACCCTGTAAATTGGAATGAAGTGGGAGGAGTAGAGGACAAGCACGAGGGTCAAGTCTGAACGGTACCAACCTTCTCCAGTTCCTTCTCGAGTTCCACTGCTCTGATGACTATAGGCCCACGAACGGCATATTGCATTGTGATCACTTGAGGGTTGATATTGTCCCGAACAAGAACCTGAAATACTTTCCATCGCGTCCTCTACCACCTTTCAAATATTTTAAGAACAGGTTCAGGTAAATCCTATAAATATGGAGGTTTTGAGTTCGGATTTGTTGTGTATTGATGACAGTTCCCTCTCGCCTTTCAAACATCCCTTGTTACGTGAATCGAGGTAAATCCTCATGTTTATTCAGTTTTATCCTCATGTTTGACTGGGAACCTAAACCGACCAAATGCAAGGTTTTGGTTTGTCATGATGGTTGCAAAGAACAATTCTTTAGAAGGTCCAAACATTTTTACTTCCCGGCTGCGAAAATAGTAAGCAAACCAGCGAACAATTGTTAGTGTCCTTGGAAGGTCTTTAGTTTTTATCACCCACGTGCTTTCTCTCTCGATACCTACAACATAACCAGGGCACGAGGTATCTCGCTACCCACGCTTAATGCTCTCCCATACTGAGGCAGTAACAAAGCGAATGCCTCTATTTTACCATTAAGGGAAGCTACATTGTTACGCGGTCCGTCTGCCCGATCCGTAACGGTGCCACTTTCATGAGCACTGCATCATACGTTACACACTATTCGAAACCATGTGCCGTTTGATATAGGGGAAGCCGGCAACGGCTTTCAACGGTTGGGAGCCGTATGCGATTCCCATATCATCGCTCAAATTGAAGAACATATGGAAAAAGCAACGCCTATAAAATTTCAATCGTTTTTCATATAAACGGTCATGAAATGAAAGCCATTTTATGTCCAAGACATCCTCAGATATTCAATCTTTAGCACTTACCTTGGCGGATGCCATTCTTAATGTGCCAAGAAGTTGGTTGGAACTTCGCAGGAGACGAGATGCAGCGATCCTCATACTGAAAACAAGAATTAAGAGTGGTAACTAAAGAAAGAGAACCGTTGTGCGAGACTGTGAAATGTCTTTGATCCCAAAACTTTAGTCTTGTTCGCAAAAGCACTACCATCAGATTCCCCACAACCCTAGCAAAGAATCATCGATTGACCCGCAAAATATTGAAATAACGTGCCCAAAATGAGGCGAGCGGTGAGCTTGGATTGCCCATGAATTAATGTTTCATTCACTAAAGGGAGAACGAAAGCACACGAGACTGAATACTACTCAGTAAAAGAAGCCAAATGCAGTGCTGCCTGATTCCATACATTAGTAGGCCTTCATCGGTTTGCTCAGTCAATAAAGTAGCTCTCTGCGTCTCATACGAATATTGTGCTATTTTGCGTGTTATATATGGCCATCCATGTATTGAAACCCTCGTGAGTTATGCGTAGGTGGAAGGTGGTAGTTGTACAAGATGGTGCGCCACTTCACTCCTGAACCGATACCCACCCTAGCTGAACTGGCCTACCATCCATCCGAAGTCAACTGGCCTCTATCGACGTGCGAGGATGTAAGCTTGCTTGTTCGTAGGGTTGCAAGCTCCTGCAAGTCATTGTGTGGGCGAATTCGCATGCAAACCTCTTTGCTTGTTCGCATGCAACACAAATGAGTGGGCACGTATCAGAAATAGGACTGATTCATGACAAGAAACAATCGTTTTATAAAACGTTTGCTACCCGGTTGAAACAAAAAACTTTTGAATGCAGAAAAAAGACGGAAAAGCTCAACGAACATTCTCTTAACCATAAATAAGACGTAGAAGGGAAATAAAAGTGGAAGGGCCTTGCAGTCCGACTTCGATACAGAGGAGATTGACTAAAACTGAAGTAAACGCCAGACTGAGGTCCTAGCCGATAGCAGTTGATCTGATTGTGAGACGGGAACATTCCGATATACAGGTGTTTGAATAAGCACGTGCTCGCGAGATCTCGTCAAATTCATTGATATGCCCTGTTTACCCAGTTCATTACAGAGATTTCGTCGCAACTGATTGCGGCTCCGCCTGCCGCACCAACTTTTCGAGGATGGTTTAGAAAAAAGCGTGTAGAATTACTACTTCGCACTTGAGCACTGATCTTTCGAACATCTGCCTTGACAATAATGGATGTAAATCTGGGATTACAATCAAGAAGCTAGTAAGAAAACAGCACAATTAAAAAGTGAACGAATGATATGATGAGATCTCAAAACCTACTCTTATAAAGCCCCAAAAATAACATTTTCTTAAGCTTGAAAAAACAGCACAACTTGTGCTCAGCTCTGTGCTTTCCACACCCACTGGCTACCTACTTAAAGACTGAAAAGATGGTCTCAAAGGGGCAGACAAATATCAAAGGATGCTCTATTACGCGGTGTATTTTCACATAATCTGGTTTTGATATGCCGAAAAGATGCAAACCACGTCAAGGAACAAATATGATCGAAGAAAATAAGTAAAAGAAAGAAAAAACTAAGTGGAAAGGGCCAAGGGTTGTGCCTCGCACTTATTTACAACGCGGCAAAAAAAAGGCTATGACATCCACCTGCAATCGATTGAGAAAGCCAAGCAGTGGCTATGAAAAACCATGTATGAGCCAGCTAGATATTCTAAAGCGCTGATCCCTTCGAACCCAAACATTACACAGTCATGCCAGCTATAATATTACAGAAAGCTGAAAGGAGCTCATGCTGTAAAAAATCTCCCTACAATCGCAGTACGAACTGCTTCCACTTCAGCGGGCTGCTGTGACCGCACCCCTTACTATCGAAGATTTCCCACGAGACATCTGAGGACACGAAGGGCTCAAAGATGGTCATGAAGGCCTGAGTGTTTGAGATAGTTTTGCCTTCGCCAGAGCTGGCACCCATTCCGATCAGGGTCATGTCGCTCTGACTCTCACGCTAAGAGACGCGATTGACGCGATTTTTTTCGATGACCTTTGACTTTATGATGAATATCGGGCCCCTCGACTGTCCGCCGAAGCCCTGAGAAACTGATAAAAAAAGAAAGAATTCCTAACCCAATCGGCACATTGCAGAAAGGTGAGGAAAAGCTTTTCAAAAGTCGATGAATTACCCTGATTACCCTTCCGATCATGCTTATAAAAACAAAATGCACATGTGCTCTCGAAAAAGACGTATCTGGTGGGAATAGAGGTAAAAGATTCATTGGAAGACCAAAGCCAAGTCCACCATTTAACGAGAAGAAAGACTAAGAAGAACAGCAAATACCATTGAACCAATGACGCTGTGAAATGCTTGCTGGCACGCAAAATGCTGGAAGTCGCATAGCACCAGCACCATTACCTATCCGACCCGGCCATTTGATTTTTTCAGGAGTAGGCAGCTGTGGAGCAAAGTCCTAACAGCGTGCTTTTTTTTAGTATACTTCAATCTATAGTCACCTTCCGTAGTCTTAACCAGTGCTTTTATCCTCCCAGACGAGTCTGGCACCAATTAACTGATACCGGAGAGATGGAAGGATTTCTAAGCCGATATCGATCTGGGATTCGAACCCATGACCATGCATGTGTGAAGTGCACCACGTGCCATTACCCCGCCTCCGCTGATAATCTTATACTTTATGTCTAATCAATATCTTATACTCTTGTATAGTAATCTTATGAAAATGGTTGAATAAACATGCACAGCTTGGAAACACCGTGGTGAAAAAAGGGCTTAGCTACAACAAGAAATCCCCAATATTGATCAAATTACCCAACTTACCATCATTTTTCGGAGTTAATTTTCTCAGAATGTTCGCAGATACAGCTAATACAATCTTCTTACTAAGTTAAGTCTTATTGAAGGGTTTTTAAGTAAGTTTATACAGAATTGTGGACAGGCAAGAACTCCAAAGACAGGTGTCACGCTCCTTACAAGACTAATTAACCCCGAAGAGTCTATTTTTAGCGATTCCAATGAAAAAAGGCTTGTGGCGCCAAAATGGCTGCATAACTGGTTGTCAAATTAATGATAAGAGCGACAAAAAAACAATTGTCGGCGAAGTTCCAGTGAAAGAAACTTGACCTGCTACATTGCTAAATTTGTGTAATACCCAGAAAAAGTTACCTTTAAAGATTCAAATCAGGAAAGTTGGAGAAAAAACTGGAACTTACCTGGCGGCGGGCATCTACACAAGTGTTAATGAAATGAAGGCAGCAGCGAACTAACGGGAAGATTGTTATCACTTTGTCGGAGCAACCACTAAACACGATTCGGACAGATGGTNTGTCAAATTAATGATAAGAGCGACAAAAAAACAATTGTCGGCGAAGTTCCAGTGAAAGAACTTGACCTGCTACATTGCTAAGATTGTGTAATACCCAGAAAAAGTTACCTTTAAAGATTCAAATCAGGTAAGTTGGAGAAAAAACTGGAACTTACCTGGCGGCGGGCATCTACACAAGTGTCAATGAAATGAAGGCAGCAGCGAACTAACGGGAAGATTGTTATCACTTTGTCGGAGCAACCATTAAACACGATTCGGACAGATGGTTGGCGGTGGGGCGTGCAATCATCAGTCACGATGGCGCCACCCGAACTAACCCGAACAAACGGGTGATTCTCCTGTGTTTTCGACTTAGCTTCCCTTCCAACCTATATCCTTCTCCCTCACCCTACTGATGGGCACAGTGGGAGAACATACAACAGTTTGGCTCTATTTGCCAGAGCGCAGAAAAGTATCGGGGTGCTTTTCTGATAGTGCTGCTAAGAATAATTCCTAGCCAGGGAGTGGAGATATTGGACCAAGCTGAAGGAGGAAAGGAGCGCTGGGATAAATGAAATGCTGAGCCCTGAGAGAAGTTGGAATCGTAGATATTGTTAAGCAGGATTCCTCTTACTGAGAGAGTGCCCAGAAGGGCTTGAAATCGAATGGTCCCTCCATCATTCTCACAAATAACTTTGATTTTTCCTTGCAATCGCCTTCTCCCTCTTAGCGGATCTCTATGAACGAGTGCTCAAAACTCCGACTGCTTTAGAAGGCACGATTTCGTGGGCATGACAGACGGGACAGATTTCTTACAGGGCAATTTGCGATACAGTACCCACAAATGGTCAAAAGAACACACGCTGGGTTTCGACAGGTGACCAAGAAACCTGTCGAAACCCAGTGAAGCGGATTTTAGGCAAGGAAACAGGCTATGAAGGTGGGCAGTAACCTGGAGGAGGTGATCCTTTTAACGGAGTTCCCCGTGGCAATGGTCTGATATCATTTACCCTAATAATCCAATGGAAATCAAAAACTTCTTTTTCACCTCGTATTAGCGACGCCTTCGAAGTAGATTCAGCTTGGCCTAAATCCCGACATATTCGGGACCGG